GGAGGGGGGTAAGGGGGTATACCATGGGCGGGGGAGGGGAGGGAGTCGGGCGATGCTGCATCATGTCTGCGTATGTATGTGTACGTATGCTTATGGATGCATGTTTATGCATATGTATGAGTATGTTTGCAGGCGTATGTGTGCTTATGTAGGTATAAAGATGCCTTTGTTAGACAGGATCGGTACATTGACCCTAAACCCAAAACCCCAAAACCCTAGTTTCAATCGAACTTGGGAGCATGGTAGCCACGCCGCCAAGAATGCCCTAAAGCCAGAAACCGTAAACCCGAGACCCGAAATCCTAGTCGCAGGCTATACCAGCAGCTGTTCTTCCACGGGGACCCGTCGCTCGATGCTTATCCGGGGCCACCGCCGCCGCTCTCCTGGGAGGCGGATCATGGGATGAACACCAGATTCCATGTTTACCATGGAGTTTTTATGTTCTCGTTTGAGGAGAAGTCGTGTATCTGTTACACGTATATACATATAGACATATAGGCATATAGACATATAAACATATAGACATCTAGACATGTATATATATATATACATACATACATACATACTGCCGCGAGCTCCCTGGCCCTGCCCCGCACCAGCTCTTCCTCAAATTCAAGACGCAAGTCCCATCGTAGTTTGAGGGTGTGGGTGCTGGGTGGGCTTGGCTTCCAGTCTGTAACTGTAATCCATCCTGCCTCCGGCAGTTCGACCAGATCGGGTTCAGTCCTCTCTCGCTGTGGGTGTGGGTGGGTGTGGGATTGTCTCTGGATTTTGTCAATACTCCATCCTCCATGCGGGTGCGAGTGTACAGTAGCTGTTTTCCCAATCATTTGATGTGGTGTCATGCAGAATTTCGGGTACAGGGATTGCGTCCCCCAGCCGCCCAATATCTGTATATATTTTGAACTTTTTTTGGTTGATGTGGCAGCAACACGAGGATCCGTAAGCACAGCAGCTACTATACTGTTGTCAAGGACAGATCTGGGTCCACAATCTGCTGGTTTGCCAACGGAACACCTCGTCGGACCACAAGCTATACTATTGGGGAATGTGACCGAATCTGACCGAACTGACAATACGTGTATGTGTATATCTACATGGATATATGTATGTATGTATGTATGCATGTATGTATGTATGCATGTATGTATGTATGTATGTATGTATGCATGTATGTGTATGTGTATGTATATGTATATGTATATGTATATGTCATACATGTATATGTGTATACATATATATGTATATATGTGGCACCACACACACACATGTAGATGCTACCATATGGTTGTGCGATGTGTATTCTGCCCCCCCTTCCGCCCCCCAATGGTATCCCAAATGCACGGGTTTGGAGCCTTCGGCGCTGTGCGGAGGGCCTTGTTTCACAGAGAACAGAAAGAGTGTCAGGGAGAGGCCGGAGGAGGGGGGATGATCACACGCAAAACCATTGGAACAAAAACACCCGACCATTCCACGGGCGAGCTTAAGGCCCTAGCCGTTTTTCAGGGGGGTGGGGAGGAGAGGGGATGACCAAACGAGGGAATACCATTGGGGGGGAGGGCGGGAGGGGGGACTATCTGTCTAGCTATCTATCTATCTATCCATCTATCTATCTATCCATCTATCTATCTATTTATCTATTTATCTATTTATCTATCTATCTATCTATCTATCCATCTATCTATCTATCTATCTATCTATCTATCTATCTATCTATCTATGTGTGGCAGCCCACCCTTTATCCTCATGTTTGTCTTGCCTCCTGGCTGCAACTATGCGTGTGTATGCTTATATATTATATGTATGTATGTATGTATGTATGTATGTATGTATGTATGTATGTAGGTATGTATGTATGTATGTATGTATGTATGTACGTATGTATGTGTATATATATATAGATATGGACATACTTGCTGGTCTTGATCTTGCTGCTTGCAGCTCCTTTCATGTTACCATTCCAATGTCACTGCTATGATCGGTAAACTATAGGCCAAGAGGATCTACACGTACTTCGGGCTCACACCGACCTCTGCACATACATGCAAAAGAAAGCTGTGAGGCTTGCAGCCTTTCTCGCGTTTCGGGCCCGAACGCAGCCTCATTCCCCCCAATTGAGCTCGGTCACAAACTAGCTGCGTACTCAATGGTCGACGACGTTGGGCTTCAGATCTGACCGAAGCAAGTCCGAAGGCCAGAAGGAATCGTAGCAGCCCTAAACCTGAAACCCGAAACCCTAAACGGCAACTAGCAACAACGAAGCAGCGACACACTCACAGAAAGCAGCCCATGGATCAGGCGGATACTGGAGTCAGCATTTGCATCGAGCCTCGGCCAGACCTGTGAGACGGGCTTAGAGGTAGGCTCGATCCTGTTTAGGGTTTATAGGGTTTATAGGGTTTATAGGGTTTATAGGGTTTATAGGGTTTAGGGTGTAGGCTTCACCTTCGTCACCATTACCACGAGCACCTTCGCCTACATCAGCCTTCATCACCCACAGGGCAATGAAGCAGCATGAGCGCCGAAGAGGGTCATTGGCTTCGCCAGCATCCTTCATAGTCATGAGTCATGACCATCACCGTCATCAAGAACAGTGTCAACGGCTTGACTTTCAACACTGTCACGACAAAACCGTGCTGATGCAAGTACATCATAAGCAAGTGGAAGCACAAGTGCCGAAGAATCTGTATCGATCGGCGGCCCTTCAGGAGTTTTTTCCCACTTTTTCGTGATTAATTAGAATGGTATTTTTCATGGGAGCCCGGAAGCCGTTGAAACGCTGATTCGCATGAGGCCCTGAATCCTACAGCCGAGCCTAAGCTCGGAGCACCTTTGTCGTCGTGCGGTGTGTTTGCTGCCTTGCATGTTTTTGGTTGTTGGTCTGTCTTATGCTTGTTTGGTGCTGTTCTCGGCCACCAGCTACCGCCGCAAGCCAGTGGCAGCTCCATCTGTAGGTATGTGTATCTATCTGTCTTTCTATCTACTTGTCTATCTATCTTAGCTGGCTGCTGGCGAGCTAGCCACCCTGCTAGCTAGTTAGCAGTTAGCTCAAACCGAAACAGTCCGTTGAGGTGGCTGTGCTAGTGCTCACTGCAGCAGCCAACCTGATCTTTTGCTGCCCCCGGCGTGGCGGGCAAAGAGCGGCGCCGATGCAGGCGCATCGTGCCGCGAGTCCGATCGGGGGCCCATGTTGGTTACCTGAACGAGCACCTGTTCCCAAAACGGTATTCTGAGAACGATCCGAGCACT